TGTTTCCACGGAGAAACTGCATATTTCTACGGAGAAAAGGCTTTCCGTGACAGAACAACTGCAATATTCCACGGAGAAGTTGGATTTCCATGGAATAACAACACATTTGTACGGAGAAGGTGCAAGTTTCTACGGAGAAGGGTTGGCCCGTATGGGCCACCGTAGGCCACGCCATCCTGGCTAGTACAGCCGGAAGTTTTTATCAGGATTTGGTAGGTACAAAGTGCCGGTTGTACTAGCCAGGATGGCGTGATTGATGACGAATCGCTTGTAAAAACGTAGTCTCCTATGCAGACCTACTTTAGCGGGTTTGGGCCCGCCACGTACGGTCTGCTTACTTTGGCTAGCAATTCGCCTTCCCATTGTATTCCATTAGCCAATAGCATTCAAATACACTAGACACGCCCACTTTGAATGTCAACTGTAAAGTGTAAACAAGGAGCGTGCGATAATCGAATAATAATACGGTATATATACGTATTTAAATGGCCATAAATGTGAACAGATCGAGTTTTCTGATCAATAGCAGTCGAAGTAGAAAATATTGAATATTTTTCCAACGATAGTACACGATAGATAGGTCGAAGGCTTAAATGTATATAAAACTATTCACTGGTAAATATACTTGTTTTGAACTTGACGCGACTGCGTTGACTTGTATATTCAATATATACTATAAGTTTCCGAACGTTCAATATCAGAGCGACTTTCGTAATTACGATTTTATTAAACTTTATAAACTGGCTAGTCATATACAAACTAAGAAACCGAAATATGCAATGAATTAATTCAGTATTTTATATAGGCTGAATTCTGCAATCTTCAATTAGTATTTAACTATTTATAAATCTATTATCTACACCCGCAGTATAAATGTACACTGTTAAACTTTACTGACTTTGTCTTGACGTCTTTGTCCAGTATATTACCTGTGTTACAGTACTGATGCAAACGCTTGTATAAAAGTAATCAAAACATCGCGAAATATTTTAGGTGATATTGTTCGATTTTAGTACACTGTATTTCACTGTCTGTTCAAAACAATAGCTCGACAAATTCTAACAGATTTTACAATTGTTCCATATTGTAAATTTGTAGACTGGTATATGTATAACAAATATATCTCTCAGCTCTCGCAGATAATCGGGTTATTAAAGATATGAATACGTTAATATCTGTCGTCACCATACTTACCCGTGTGGATGGTTAGGTGCAGACGTGGTCAGCTAATGATCTCCGGATTTGAGTTACTTGGATTCAGGTCCGAATCACGTGGACCTGTCCATTCAGGACCTGACCACCGAACGTCTGCACCTTATCACACCGAACTTAGTTCGATGGAAATTAAATTGAAAATCAATTGTAGTCATGAAAAAAAAAAATTGCTTCTTCTCTGAGCAGATAACCATTGCAGTTGGCTACGAATTAGCTAATGACCTGAGAGTCTGCTTGGCACTCTCTATATCCGATATCCTGAGGGCACATGTCGTACCCAGACTGCGCGCGGCTCCTATGATATTAACCTTGGTTACTATGTAACCTCATACAAATCAAGATATGAAATGTTCAAGATTAAATGTTTTGAAACTTTTGACGACCCAAGCCTCAAGGTCAGTCAAAGGTCAAGCCCCACAATTTTCGTGGGTAAAGCTGTGATTGGCTAATTTTGAGGAAAGGAATTCTTGGCCAAAGTAAGCATACCTTACGTGAGGGCACTGCCCGCTAAGTAGGTATGCGTAGGAGACTAATAAAAACGGGCATGTAGTAAAACACTGACTACCGGAACACCGCCGGAACACCGCCGGAACACCGCCGGAACACCACCGGAACACCACCTAACCCCCAACCCTAACCCCAACCCTAACCCCAACCCTAACCCCCAATCCTAACCCCAAACCCTAACCCCAAACAAAATGGTGGTGTTCCGGTGTTCCGGTGGTGTTCCGGTGTTCCGGTAGTCAGTGTTTTACTACATGCTTCAATACTCTGCCAACTGAGCTACGCGGTCAGGTTGGTTCGAGTGTCAATGCAATCTCGAGTCTAGTTCCTTCGATATCAATGCAATCTAGTAATCATGATTTTTTTGTGGTGGTGTTATGTACTCAGGTGAATATGATGTTTGTGATGTTACTCTGAGTGTATATCCACACCAAATATGGCAGAGCATTGGGCTGGTGTTCCAAGGGTCGTAGGTTCGATTCCCACTGTGGCCAGGCATATTTTTCAAGCTTGCCCGGTGTGGATATACACTCAGAGTAACATCACACACATCATATTCACCTGAGTACATTACACCAACACAAATTAATATTTACTCAAAAATCTGCCAACTGTGTCTGAACTGCTCTTCCCCCGACGTCCAGTAAGGACCATCCTTTAACAATGTTTGGTAAACTGGAATCACTCTTCTCATATACGACTGAATCGAATACACTGGACTCCAATTGTGATCGCAGAGGTAGAAGGCACATGCCACACCAATATGACTAAATAAAAGCAGACTAAAAAACGACACCCTGACTAAATAAAATCAGAATATGTTACGAAATTTATTATCGCTATAATTAGTGCAAATTTGAGGCATAACAATGTCTCAATATAAAAGGGCTATTAAGCTCAATTAGACTATGTTGTTGTATATGAATTGGAACAACTACGCATAAACTATGCCTGTAGTATTTATTTAATTAGCTACTTCAATTTTGCTTCTCAAAAAGTTCGATGAATGACACCAATTATGGATAATTCCAAGTCAATGTTACTAAGATATATATTAAACAGATTAACAAAGTACATCTTTTGTCAAATTGTCATGTTAGCGATGGATAACAAAGAAAGGCAAAATTTGATCAGAGTTTTCTATAATAATCATTTCACCACTCGCAGCGTTAGCAGCTGCAGTTCCAGGTTGCTTTCCTAACAATACTTTCTTGGAATTGTAACCTTGGGGTATATCACGTATGCTATTGTCAACTTTTTCTGTTCCTGGAAGAATACGACACAGCAAGAGACCATCGCCATAGCCCAAACTGATTGCCGGGAATTCTGAGAAATAATTTCCTTTACCATAGAGTTGTCTTTGGGCGTAACTCAGTTGCAAGTTTGTTTCTAGGATACTATTTATGTTTTTCTTATCAGTTCCATGATAAGCAAGAATTTCGTCGTCAGGAATGCGTTTCCTTTTGAATTCTTGCTTAGTTTTTTCGAATTGAATGCTAAGATTCTGGTTAATGACAATATCGATAGATTTAATCGTAGCTTGTTGCGGGGACAAAGGTGGGTTACTATTAGCTGCCATTCGTCGGAAATGGGACTCGGCGAAATTGTAATAGATTTCGTATGGATCTTGGAAATCTACCGTTCTTGATGCTGTCATAGTCTTCTTGAAAATTTTCTTGTGCGTCAACCATGTCGGTGATGGTGGTGCAATATGATTGGTAGAAGAGAAATGAATGATGTACTGTGGAAGTGCCTGGTCAGGATCGAAGATCACAAACTCGTCATTCTTCACAGCTGACCCTCGAGGAGCATGCACGGAATCGTATCTTTTTAATCTTAACTTATCCTTGTTCAAACTGTTGTCAGCATGGCGAACTTCCTTCGACTTTCCGAGAAGAACTTGACAGAGGAGAAGCTTCTGGGAACCTTTCGTGTAAATTTCCCGTGCACTCTTGGAAGAATCCGTGGCGAAGTAGATACCTTGGCCATACATTCCACGTTTGGCAGGTGGAGGATCCGGGTCTGGCATTCTGAATCCATCTTCGGTGATACCCTTTACACCGTCATCTGATGTACCATGGAACTTTGGAGCGATGAAATCACCAAATGCTCTGGACTTTGCTTCTTCGAATTTTTTTTCCAAAACCAGATTGGTAACTTTTTCAATTTTCGTCACCTTAGGGAACCAGTTGTGCATCGGTTGAATGAACTTTAGAACTTGGTCTTCAGCCACCCGGTATTCTGCGGCAGTTGAACCAGTGGGGAAAATCTCATCAATTGAAATTATAGGCACTTTCTTGCTGATCTTGTGTTCGAGATCTTTGGCTTTCTTGTTCGCTTCTTCATGGAATATCACCATCTTTTTCTTATGAATGTCCAGACAATATTTGCAATCACCTTTCTCGCAGTCATCACCGCACGCATTTTTACAAGGGTGACCGCATTTTCGCGGTTTTACACAAGGTTTTACAGGACATTTCACATCCCCGTCTTTCTGATAACATTCCTTTTGGATTTGATGTCCACAGAATCCTGTGAAATACACAGTTTTAGTGCAGTTCCAAGCGATCGGTTCAGAACATTTCTTCTTTTTGGTTGAAGGATGGTTACAGCTCGGAAATGTGTAGTTAACCATTGTGGGCAACTGTCGTGGCCATGAGGCTTGCCACATTTATTAGCACAGTGATGTTTTCCACAAGAATTTATTTCTCTACACGGGCAAGTGCAAAAGAGATCTTCAATCTTCTCATGACATTTTTTTTCCGTTTTGTGACCGCATCGTGGAAAGGCAGCAGCGACCGGTTCGTCACAAAGTAGCTTGGTAATATCTTGTGTGCATTTACGATGAACAGGATGACTACAACTTGGAAACTTGTCCCATACTAATTCGGGACATGCAGTGTGTCCATGTCTTGGGAAACAGGATTGCTTACATAGATGCATTCCACAGGCATATGGGTCTCCACACATTAGCTTGCACAAGAGTTTAGGGTTAGAGATAACCTCAGTAATGTTCTCGGCTTCTTTTGCTTGAAATATAGAACTTTCGTGCTTTGTGCATTGGAGAGGGATTATATTTTCTACACATTTTTCCCCCCGCATTGATTTTATCAACTTAGACCAACACCCCCTTTCGAAAGTTGTTACGTTTCCTACGAAATACATACCACACTTGGCCCTCGACTGTGCCACGCAACGACGGTTCTGTTCAGCCAGGAAACCAATCTTACGGTCATCGTTGGATCGTACAAGCGAAATAAGGACATACTTATTTTCATCACCTTGATACATGTCGATCGTTTGAACTTGAATGAATCCTTCTGTGGTTACTCTGCCTGTGTTTATTTCTTTAAAAAGATGGGGCATTTTGGTCTTTAGATCTTGCAGCATTTTTCGAAGAACTTTAGTCTGCCCGAGATAGGCGGCAAGAACAGTGATCTCAGACGGACAGCAGCCATTGCACAGAAGATAAATAACAAGAGCTCTGATTCGTTCTGCTTCTTTGACATTTGTGTAGGAGCGATCGTGTTGTTCGGGATATTCATGAGACCAGAAAAACATGGACTTCTCGATGCATTTCAAAGGCTCGTTCTTTAACACCAGCGGTTGGTTATCTTCTAGCTTGGGGTAGATGTCTCGTAACAGGGCTGAAAACTCAGGACGCATTCGGTTTTGCTTGGTCAGGGTTTTGTACTCGAATTTAGATTCGATCAATCTTTCCATCATCGAAATATTGAAATACTGAAAGCCAATGCGCAGCTCGTAAGTATCCACTTGAGGTCTCAATTGTTTGTGGTCTCCAATCAGGATGAGATGCTCAACAGATGGCGTCAACGCAGCCAGGAGACCAGGTTCAAGTATTTCAGCGGCTTCCTCGACGATCACGACACTCGGACCAATTTGGTGAATAAGATCATGATTAATAGACGCTCCTGTGATGGTGACACCAATGATCTTTTTCTGCGACAATAATTTAACTTTTTCATCCATTTCCAACTCGTCTCTATGACTCTTCAAATACTGCAGTCGCTCGAGCAGATCATTCAACTCCTGAGAGACGCTGGTTGTTCTCTCACTCAAGATGCTGTACAGAAATTGCAATCTTTGAGGTTTTGTTAAGTCCCAAAGATTTTCGATGTGGCGAATTTGTGAATTAACAGCCATATCGTTGGGGTAATCAGAGATATCGATCAAAACATCTTTCTGATTCGTCTTGATAGAATTGAAAATGACAAGACTGTTTTTAGAATTCCTTCCTTGTTTGATGCCTGAAATCATTCTCGTCTCAGCTAATTCCTTCACGTAATCCTCGTCTCCGCTGTCATCCGGACATTCGTCGTCAGAATTGAGTATCTTTTCTTCATCTAACGTTTTGCTCTGTAACTGTAGAATAAACTCTGTTTGAATCGCCTTTAATTGTTGGAGTTCCTGTCTGTCTGGAAACCATTCCTGAAAGACTCTATTAAACACATTGAAGCAATGGTCTTCGTTTGAGTTCTTCTTCAAACCTCCTAATTCAATAGATTTCATCAAAAACTCTTTGAGAGAACAATGTTTCTGGGAAATATCAGATATAAGCTGCCTGATCCATGTCTTGTTGGCGCACGTCTTGCTATTCCGGTGGCATACAATCTTTTTCTGGTTCCAACCTGCTTCGATTAGTAGTAATTGTAGTTGCTCTTCGGATAGCTCATCCACGAAACTCTTCTTCCCCAGTTGACTGCTAACATCAACCTCAGAAGATAGCTCTTTAATTTGTGTTTCCACTTCTTCAATCTCATTTTTCTTTTCTTGAATCTCGGTAAAAACTGCTTTACTATGGCTCTTGTTCTTCATCAGCGATCTCGTGATCGCATGTAGATTGCAGGATTCCAACTCTGGCTCCTTCGACCTGCCTCCAATCCTAACCAGCTCATTTTTTCGGCAAAATGTCAACATCTGTTTTAGGAATTCGTCAAGGGCGTGGTTCTTGTAAGTCAACAATAAGATTGGTTTCTCAAGCTTCGGCGAGAGAGATAACAGCAATTGCACGATTTTAACTCCGATGAACGTTTTCCCACAACCTGGTGGACCTAATAGAAGAATGTAAGACAAAATGTCTGCTAAATTTATTTCTCAATTACAGACTTAAAAACGTTATCGGTTTTTTGTGATGTTTTTGATGTTGCTCTGAGTGTATATCCACAGCGGGCGAACTCGCGGATTCGATTCCCATCGTGGTCAGGCTAACTTTTCAGGCCTGCCCGCTGTGGATATACACTCAGAGTAACATCAAAAACATTATATTCATTTGAGTACATTACATCAAAACACACACACAAAAAAAGTTATCTGTTTTGCTATGTATAAAGTAAAAAAGGATTGTGAACACTAGATGGGACTCTATAGAGCGGTTTGCACTCATTTGAATCCCAGGGAGCAACTCAGCAAAAGCCATGGCAGCCATGTTGGTGTTCCAGACAAAAGAGTCTAATTAAAATTCTTTTGAATTGGAACACCAACATGGCGGCTGTGACGTCATGTGCAAACGCTCTATTATAGTTTCTATTTGGCTGCAATACGCAAACGTTTGGCAAAAAATACTACCACACGAAAACTTGCATGCCCATTCTTTGAGCTTCGTTTTATGAGTAATAATTAGATAAAGAGAAGATATATAAATTTTCTGCAGTATACCTTGTATGATCGCCAGTCTATTCTGCAAAGCGTGAACGAGAGCGTTACGTTGGCTTTCTTCGAGAAGCGTTTGACAATCTTTGAAAATTTCGAGAAATTTTTCGACCTCCATTCGTTTCTCAGCAATTCTTTCTTTCGAACTTCGGTTGTCACCTTCAGGAATGATAACAGGTGTGGGGTCCAATGTCTTTGCTTCTTTAAGATATCTCGGAAACCGAAATTCTAACGAAGGTTTAGCAAAAACAACTTCTTGTTGAAGTGGAAAGTTTTCCATGTCGAATTCTTTTAAACGCCGTAGAATAGGACTTATGGCGTGGTAGTAGGTCGGTGATTCTGCCATGACTCCTGATCCTGTAAGATAGTTGTATAACTGGATCCAGCTAGATTTGGTAGGGGTGGGGAGGGGGTGGTGCTCATTGAGTCATGGTCATGGTTTGGGTGTGGTGAAACACTGCCCTGGCAGGGGTCTGGTTGGTGGGGTCTGGTTGCCTTTCCAAATAAAAAATAGACACCCCACACACATCCACCTCCCACACATCCAACCCCCCCCCCCTTTCCCCCACGCACACATCCATGATAGCTGTGTTCAGTAATGAATAAGGAAGTAAATAAACAAAAAGAGATAAACACAAAAACATTAAACACTAACAAACAGAAAAGTAATTAGAGAATCAAAATCTACTCGAACTAACCTTCATTACTTTGTAGTAAATTTATGATCTCACTCATTGGTTTCTTGTTTTCATCTAACAATTCCAACATAACGACTGAATATTTATTGAGCATTTCTGTATCCCTATTGGATACTGTGGCCCAGATGACGTCATCAAACTTTCGGTTCAGAGAAATACACAGCAAGTTGCCAAACATGAGTTTGGTTGAGTTTTCCCACTTTGTGACTTTCCTGGCTGGGTTGAAATGAATTGCAAGAGAGAACCGACCATTTTGAAGTTCAAATCCAGCCAGATGAACATCATAATAAACATTCATATCACGAACATCTAGTCGACCCGAGTTGAGCTCTCTAATTCTCTTTTGTATTGAAGCAAACGCTTCCGCACGGAGTAGCCTGAAATATGTATCCATGTACTCCTCGGGATTTTGATAAGGTGTGCGCCATTTCACAGGTGTAAGGTGCTTATCTTTTGTAAGCAAATCAGCACTAGTTAACTCATAGTGAGTTAATATCAGCGGAAGTTCCTGCCATACATCCATATTGGGAATTTCAGTATTTTCGCCACTGAGACTAAGCTGTAGGAGTTTGTACAGAAAGTGAGTTGTGGAAGATGTCGGTGTCTTTTCTGTGATAGCTAGGACTGTTGGTAAAAGACATCGTGCGATGGATGGAGTATGACGAATTATACTTTCACACGTACTTCGAAGAAGTTCGGCTGATAACAATTGATGCTGTCCATCTGCAAGATAAAACTCGTCCTCTTCGACATTATATTGGGAAGACTTTACTAACAAAGCCAAACTTTTATCGCCTTTACTTTGAAAAATCGTTCCTTGTAGCACGGCCTTCAACGATTCCTTCGTCAGGGTTTTGCAGTGTTTGCCAACTTTTATAATTTGTTGAAGTAATTGGAGCAGGAATTCGATGTAAACAACGCATATAGATGTAGATGTGGGCGAGCCAAGGAAACTCCACATGACAATGTTTGGTAATGTTTCGACGAGCACTGTCTTGTAGTATACTGAATTCAAATCTTCAGTCAACAGATTTAGGTAATCCACCAGCTCTTCACAAGAACGTTGCGAATACCGGAATACTCTTACTTTTCGTGCCATCGGCTTTGCTGGATCTCTTTCGCCAAGTACAAATTCCACTATATCCCCGCCTTTCAGAGGTAATATATACTTGGATATGTTATCAGACTGCATGTACACATCTCTTTCTGTGTTATAACCCTTCGGTAAGTCACCTGATGGTCTTATGAACCAATACGGTTTATCGTTTTCGATTGAACATAATGTTCCCTTCAGCCACCTCGAGCTTTCTTTCGCCTTCAAACCCAATGTTTTACGTTTCTTTTTCCGTGCTGACCATTTTGAGTTTGCATCCATGTTTTCTGTCTGAGCTACCAAATTGTCATCTGAAAATTTACCACATTACAGAAAAATGTGAATTCTCTCGGTTTTCAAGGGTCTTTGTCAAAGTTAAAGTACGATTTTTTGTATTGTTTTTTATTGGCTTTTATACTAGTGGGAGAACTTATTTATTATAAGATATACGCTAACAGCCATTTTGTTTCTTTGTTGTTTTCAAATTATGCTAAAATATCAAGTGATTGAAACCCAAGAATTGGGATTCTTGAATGGTACTTGGTAGGCTGAAACTTATCTTTGGGGTTAGTGACACTTTATGTGAACCAGGCTTTAAAACAATATAATGAACCCTTTCAGTTCAATAGCCATTGTAGTTTTTACGTAGACAGTTTTTTATCGTAAATTTTTAGCTTAACGAGCGATTAATGATGAAGGCGGTGTGAAAAATGACGTCGTTTGAAAAGGGCTTTGCCAAAGTTTGTCATAGTCCATAGTCATAGAACACCCGCTGATCTGAATATCTGAAGTCTGAACACTTTCATATACTCTGTCGAAGTTTAATTTTGCCCAATTTACTCTAAAATAATCCTGGATACAGAATATACTGATGTAGTTTATAGATACCAATTTGACTGAAACCTAGCCAAACCCGAAAAAGATAGTGTTTTATACTTATTACATTCGACAAATTTAAAATTCGACATATTGTATTCGACATAACGTCATAAGTATCGAGTACATTTTGCAAGCCTTTGTTTTGAAACTGCTGTAATATGCTAGGTTACCTTTATATAACTGTAGTCCAGACGCGAGAAACACTGTAAGATGACCAAACCAAAAGTTTCATAAGTTCAGGAATCTGATGCTAATTTGAATGATGTCAATCGATACCATATCAGCTTGACAGTCATGTGAGCGTGCAAGAAATGCAGAGTTCCACGCATCTCACAGGAAATTGTGTAATAATAAGTGGGGGTGGAGATCACGGTATAGTTGGTTGTTCCTATGATCGTTAACTGATTAACCATCCTACGATATAACTATCTATACTACGATTAACCATTTAATACCTATAGCTACTATCAAAAAACCAAGTCTCACTGCATATTTCGAGACAACCTTCGGCACAGTGGCGTAGCCAGCCCGACAATTTGGTCATGCTATGCAAATATTTCCGTGTTCATAGACTGAAAACAATCGATTTCTAAAGAAATGAATGATGATGATTTAAAATTTGCATAGCATGACCAAATTGTCGGGCTGGCTACGCCACTGCTTCGGCACTTTTAAATGGACTTGAACAATTGAATAATTTCTACACCCACGAGATAACGAAGGCTCATAATATTTAACTTTTACATAAAACAATATTTCAAACACTTTTGACGCATATATTTCAAAGTCCTGCATATGTCTATATATTGCATTAATATTTTTCTTATAACCAGAATCACAGAGTATTGTTTGTATAATTTAATCCCACTACTCCACTAGCATTTCGGATTTAAAGATTAGCAAAATATACAAGTAAAAAGGACACAATTTACGCATTTACACCTCTATATATAGTTTTGTGTTTTAAATATAAAATTACGAATGTCCTGTTCTCGTCCACAAAAGATGTACATCTTATATTTGCGTAATGAAAATGCATCGAAATGTAACTTTAGGTCCCTGACAGCATGGATATATAATAAAATAAATGGATTGGAAACTTCTGACGTCATTGACTGCATCCTTGTTGAAAAACGTGACGTCACGCGTATTGCGAATGTTACCAAAGTTCTCGGCATTTTTGTTGTTTTGCTATATTTTCCACTTTAAAAGGGTGATCTTGAAGCGTAAACTGGTCTAATTGTTTTAAAAACATGCCTAAGCCACGACAAAGTATTCAAGGCAAATGTTTTTCGTCTTTGTTTTGTATTTTTTTACATTTGTAGCTACGAAATTGGCGTCACAAATTTTAACGAAATTTGCGATGTATTTTTCACTGTTTAGTGTTTGAAATATTTGCTAAAATTGACTGGGAATACTTAGAGTTTTCATCGTAGAATGGCGTGGTTACATTTATTTGCTCTTTGACTAAAATGTTTAGCTGTATTATTGCTAAACATGCCGTTTTTGAGAATTTTATTTTCAACTAGGTTGAGGCATCCAACCACGCCATCAATCCCAGTAAAAACATTAGGTCACGTCAGCTAGTTTCCTATCCATTTATTTTATTATCCATGATTACCGCACATTAAAGCGCAGCAGCTCATTTGTGCAGAATCACAAGGTCAAATATCACGACCTTGATGAATTACATTGCGTTTAACGTCCGGCATGAATGGAGTCATATTTTCGTGCATATTAAAAAGGAACATATAATGGCGCAGCCGTTCACGAGTCAACTTGCTTCTCCAGCGCCCGAAGGCTTTACTCGTAACATCATTACCCCCCCCAACAAGTTTCTCCCTGGATTTAAACTTTTCACAGGAATGGCCTGGAAGACTATTGGGGGGGGGGGCGGTCGCCCCCCTCCCTTGGCTATGCCACTGATCACCCTGTAAGATGTTGCTTACGAGTCTTTCAAAACATTCCATACAAATCTCGCAGTGACAGGGCCGTGACATTTTTTAATTAAGTTGGAGTCATTGGGTTAATTTTGCCGCTGTGTGATGTTTTTATAGGTTTATTATTTGTTTTGGAATGAGCATGGGTGTCAAGCTGAAGCAGATGTTATTACAAAAAATGTGATGTTGAGATGTGTGTTTACGCTGCAGGACCTAATGCCAAAAAAGTGTCAAGTGTTATTGATGGTTATCTTAGTAATTTTAAAACAAAAGTTATTCCGAATAAGGAGTGCATAATATTAACACACAATTTATTAAAACTGTATATTTCGAATCTAAATTCTTGGTCGCAATAACAAAATCTGTTCACCCACGAAACTAGCCCAAGAATTGCAATTTCTTAAGAAAATTGCGTCATGGAATGGGTATCCTAAACGTGTTGTCTTTTCACTCATAAAACGCTTTAACCAAAACACAACAAACGACCAAGATAATAACACGACAGAATCGAACGAAACTAGACCGACGCTTTGGCTAGAAATGCCATACATTGGGACGAAAGGCGAACAACTTTTACGTGCACTCAAGAGGAAACTATTACGTTGTCTCAACATTACGAACGTGCAGATTAGGACGAGAGTAACAACAACTAAACTAAACTTGTTTACGAACGCAAAAGACAAAGTACCTAAACAAAACAAATCCAACGATGTATACCATTTTACTTGCCCTAAATGCAACAACAGCTATATAGGCAAGACTGACCGAACGCTTCTAGAACGGGTAAAGGAACATGCGTACAAAGACAAGGAAAGTGCTGTGTACAAACACTTAGACTGCTGCTACGACAAAACATTCTTAACATCACAATCTAACACACAACTGACAGAACTTGTACTTTCAAACACTAAGATCATTGATTCTTCCAGAAACTGGAATTTATTACTATATAAAGAAGCGCTACACATTAAAAGACGTAAATCAAGTCTTAATAATGGACTAAAAGCTAGTAGAGAACTACAGTTATTTAATTAATTAACGTGCGCTGAATGAAAGAACTACGTGAACTGCTTCATCACGAATAAACGCTATTGATTGCTTACGCACTTTTGCGCACGCTAGCTTGTAAATATAACGACATATCTTGCAAAACACTGCTGAAGATGAATCTGATTTAGATTCGAAATATACAGTTTTAATAAATTGTGTGTTAATATTATGCACTCCTTATTCGGAATAACTTTTGTTTTATTTTTGCTGAAATTATCAGCTGGAAAAGGATTTAGTAATTTTACTTTGTTGTCTTTATATGAATTATGGTGTGAAAAAAGTGAATATTATGTTAATCACATTTTTTCGGATGCTAATGGAAATTATCAGTACATATTATGTGGATCAGACAAGGAATTTTCCTCCCATGCAGCCCACTTTAGAGTTTTAATGCTACCCGCCCTGTACCCGTTTGGTGCCGATCATATTGGGAAAATAATATGTGCAAATCGTATGTCATCAGCATTTAGTCTTAAGGGGCAATGTCACAGATTTTTTAGCAATTCTAACCCTTGCAAATTTTGCCCAAAACTGAAAAAGAATGAGTGTAAGCACAAAATAAAGCAGTAACAAAAAACATGTACAGAAGTCTGGATGGGCAAGGTTACATCAGGATTGAGATGGATTGTAAATGGCATCTTGATTAATTGCTGGCAGACACTTTTTCGAGTTTTAGTAATTTTTTATGAAAATGTCATGTCACATGTTGCGTGGAAGTTCAAAGTTGTTTAATATGACTCGTATATCATAACTTAATCCATTTACAATGTTTATTTTTAACTTTGTAGTTCAGTTTTTGAATAAAAGACATTTTAGGTAAAAAATCGGTGACATTACCCCTTTAATTACGAACGTCCCCGGGGATTCATATTATTTGATAAGTTTAAACAGTGTTTTGGAAATATATACTGTTAATTGGTGGGAAAAAAGTTGTTTGTGTGTTGTGGAAAGGGGTTGTATGATGGCGGATGGTCATGCTAAGGTTAGCTCCGTAGATATTCCCAATACTAAATTTAATGTTGGAAATGTGAATTTGGACGATATTCGAACGTATAAAAACAACAACACTCTTGTCTATGATGGGAAACGTTTAAAGTGGAACGGCAACTATGATGAACTGGAGAGTTTTATTCAAAATACAGTTGGTTTGAGCGGTAAATGGATTTCGCCTGGCGGGAACTCTAAGAAGTTTATAAGCAACTCAGATCTGACAATAACTTGGTATCGCGGCAAACAACGAACATTAGTTGTCCAAGGTAGCGAAGG